TGTTTTTCCTGCCAGGGAAGTGTGATTGGTGTCTGAAAAAAAGTTGGAACAAAATGTTTCCAGCTCAGATCATGTCCTTTCCCTCTGCCCTCCTGATTGAGGCTGCGCTGAAAGGGACGGAAGATTATTGGAGGGGAAAAAAATGCTAGAGATATATCAGAGACTTAACAGTGCGAACATGGGGAGGGGAGGAACTGCAGCTCTAGTTTGTGAGTAATTTCAGTGGATAGAGTTGAGAAATACGCAGGAATTGGACTTCCCTTTGTAAGCAACATAAATGTTGCTTACATATGTCCTTATACCAGGACAGCTGTTTACAAAGGTGAATGTATCGTAGACCAGATACATGTCAGGAGTGGACTTATTGAATTTGCAAATATTTTTTGAGTTGTTGATAGAAAAAAATCTTGAAATATGTCTCTGTACTTATCTTCTCAGGGGAAGCCCATGGGCAAGTCGCTGCATGGAGTTGAATCCTGGACAGGTTAAACCATGATAGTGAGTCAATGAATATATGAGGAAGGACGTAGTCATAGATAGCTGGTAGTTTTTTACATCAGTAGCTCTAGCAGATCATCAGGTATGATAGAGTGGACATTCACTTAAAAACCGCTATGACTATGGCTTGTGTTTTTCTCAGTATTTCAAGTAGCAAATTGTCAGACGTGACCTTGAGAACCATAACAGACAATGCAATGAAGTGTTTCAGTCAATAGGCAACACAAGAGAATGCAACGTGAGGTCACTTTAATAGCAAATGGTTGAGTATCAGCGTTTACCAAGGAAACAGGAATTCAAACATATCAAAGCATAACCATACCACAGCTCGTCAGTCTTACTTCCAATCTGGACATTGAAGGTTCTACCAAAGGAAGCCTCATGAAATGCACAAGTGAAACATTTTTCAGAAAGCTTTTGGCAACACCAATCTATCCTCAGTTGGTTGTCTACAACTCTGGTATTATTAAAGCCAATGAAAGTAAAAGTAAACATGAAGAAAGGAAGTCAGTTTACTAAGAAATTTAATTAAAATTGTAAAATTACAAACAGGAAACTGGTGGAATTTAATAGCTTCCTCAGACAACTCACATTTTGTGACTGAGTTGTCATCGTTATTATTTCTATAACATAGCTGAAAATGGATGTATTTTCTTCTTCCAGAACTTCAGATATGTCCATCCAGTATGAACACCAAAGGATGATGAAACTCAAAACCAGCCTACATTTCATCGTTAATATCCCAGATGAATTTGATGGGCAGAGTCTTCATTTTCTCTTTAAGAACTTTGTCAAACGTTTCACTCTGTGCCACTGTCGTGATGTTTTTCCAGTCTCCAACAGTGCCTGAGGAAAGAGGCAGCAAAGGGAGGCGAGAAGCAGAACGTGCACCTCTCTGAAGCTCACTGCAAACAGTGAGTGCTAGTCTTGGGAAGCAATTCCTGGCTTCCTCAGCGTCTCCCTGTTGCTGGCCCGTCAAGTGAGGGTCTGTGTGCCCTTTTGAGGACACGCTTCCAAATCTAGGTGCTGTGAATAAAACACAGCGTAGACCTTTAATCCTGACTCCTCATAAAGTTATTCAACTCATTTGTTCTGGTGTTTTACTGATTCCTTTGAGATCAAAGAGGAAATTACTAAAAGCAACACCTCTCGTTTTTCTCTCAGTGCACCACTCTCTTTAATCCCTGGAGATCCCCTCCTACGCTGAGTGTTAGGACATCTTAGCAATGCCCAGGAGCCCAGGGATGCCATGTACGGACGTGGATGGTGGTTGATCAAGAAGGTCTATGCTCACACAATTAAGGTGATTTACCTTGAAAAGTAAGAAACAGTAAAAAAGAGTATAATCTTACCCCTGGTTCGGTACAACCCTTAAATCCTTCTTGTATCTGACAGGCCTGTTACAACCTGTGTTACTATCAGTAAAACATTACCTTTTTATTATCCTCAGGAAAATATGGTAAAATCACTGATGTCACGGCAATAAAACTGCTCGTATAAATTTAATTTGCCACTAACCTGAAGTCTCCCTCTGAAAATGGGGCATTCCATCTGAGACCAGAAACCCTAGGTTCATCTCACATCAAGAAGTGTGGGATTAAATAGTTGTTGCGTTGGACTGCTTACACTTCACCTTTTCATAAAAAACTACCCTTGTCTTTCGCTACAATGTCATCTGGCAGGTTCTTATAGTTCGCCCTGGGATCTTTTCTCACGTTCTCAAATGTAGCATGCCTCACAACACTGTCCACTTCCTCTTCGCTCAGCTTCTTGCCTAGGAAGTTGCAGATCTTCAGCACAGCACTTCTGATATCCTGCAATATTGTTACTTTGAAGAGTCTTGATGATGCAAAGAACTAAATGCATACAGTAGTGGAATACAGGATGATAAAGGACATACATTTGGGTGCAAAACTGACCATAATTTCCATGTGAGCATAGTCTCCCTTTCATCAGTTGAATATTCGAGAGCAGTGACGCTGTAGCTTACTGCAGCAGCGTGCCCTTGGAGATGAGGAATTCTGTGCTCTGCTCCCCACACTGCAAACCCAGTCTGCATCTCGCGTTGGATGCCCTGGCAAAGTCACCTCTGGAATCGCGCCTGTCACTGTGAAGGCACTCAACCCACGGGGGTTTTGTCAGCCTTGTTGTCCTAGCAAGGGGCTCGACATCAGCAACCCCAGGCCCCGAAGGGTGAGAGACCAGTGCAGTGGCACGTGATGTGGGCTGTGCTGCTGTGGCTGGGGCACTGTGGGACTTGCCCACGAGAAGAAGGACAGCCACCTCAGAGAAACGAGAAGTCGCACAAAGGTGGGGGCAGCCACCAAGCAGGAAACTTCTGGTCAGCAATCTGAGAGCTCCTCAAGTACTTTAAAGCCTGCCTCTTAAGCACTTCTTTCCTTTAGTGGCACTGTCCTTATGAGAACAACATTCCTGTTGAAGATACTTGCAAAAGTCTTGTTCTGTACTATTTCAGAAAGGGTTTTTTGGGGTGGCAGTGAAGATAACTTGTCATATTGGAAAGTTTCTTACCCAATAATTGTCTAGTAATTGATAAGACCTTGAACCAATGAGACAAATTACTTCATCCTCTCAGAAGTCTCAATTTGAATCTACTCCACAGTGGATTAAGCACTTTCCAATATAAAGTGCAATTATAAAGAGCTGTCTGAAAATGCAGTCAATATAGGAAGAGAATATCTTGAATACAGTGATACTAATTGACTTCACCTTTTTCATTTCTTCGTAGGTAAAGAAGAGTGCATTGAAATCCTCTGCTTGATTGTACCAGCCTGCAACATGATCCAGCCACAAACTGGGAAGTATTCAGCAAGGGAAATTATTAAAACAAAAAAATAAAGAGAAATACTATTAACAGTTAGCAGTAAAACAGCAAAATTATCAGTCATTTAGGTCTTTGAAAGGGTTTTTTTAAATAATATTTTTTGATAATTTGAGGGATGCACGCTCACCGTCTTTGTGACGATTCTCCAAGCTAATGTGGCAACTCCCCTTTTGTTTCTAGTAATCTGAACTAATACTGGCAGAAGCAAAAAACTACTTCTCTATCTTTGCTGTACAGCGTCTATTCTTATGGGTTCAGCTCCACTAACCAATGCAGAAAGTGTTAAGAGATTTTCAGTCATAATGGTTATATTCTAAATCATTCAGATAAAATAAGCAGCTTGCATGTTGTTGGAGAGCAGCAAAGCCATGACTATGCTACTGTCTTTGCACCAGCTTTCATCAGAAAATGGTGTCAAGCTCAGACAGCCTCTGCAGCTTTGGATTCAGGTTACAGCATAGCTGAGGATTCTGGTATTTGATATTTATTGATATAATTAATCTCCATTCAATCTGAGGTCATGCAATAGGATATGGGCTCCTTAGTAAAAAAGATATCCTACCTTTGCCAGCTAAAAATCTGTCCATAAAAAGGTTAAAATCTGGTACTTCCTCTAGTGTGGACATGAATTTGGAGAAGCGGTAGTAAGAAACCATAACATCCTTAGGGTTCCTGGTAACACAAATAATCTGCAAAACAATAAGACTGGTCTCAGAGATATTAAAGGACTCCATTACCCTGACCATCAATGCATTTTTCCACACAGGTCCCACTAAAAATGTGTGAAAACAGTTTGAAGGTGACAATCACATTAGGTAAATTCTGGATAATGAATAAGTGCTGTCAATTTGTTTATAGGCGGTGGTATTTTTGTAGTTGCAGTCATTCGGTGCCTGCGGCTAACTCTCTTCACGGGGTCAGTGTTACAGGCTTCAGTGATACTGTTCACTTGTGCAAGGCAGCCAGGTTGCAATAACAACACTAGAAAATCATTAGGTTGATTCAGCTTCACATTTCTGTGTACAGTCACGATGAAGTGAAGAGTTTCTTGTAAATCCCAGCTTTGGCAGTGTTGACAGCATCAGTACTCTGTGATCTAAACTCCTGGCCTGTGGTGCTGGTGCCAGAGGCAGCACGCAGGCAGATTTTGAATGACATTAAGAGGCAGCCCTGGCATGTTAAAAGAAGGAGCTGTTACGGGCGAGGGTTATTTTGTCTCCTGCTGACTCCTGACCACACGAGATCTGCTGCCTCAGGCACAGACCAGGCACCACCAGTGAGATGGGCAGCCTTTTGCCTCTCGACTGGCAGCATGTGCCAGCTTCTACTAAGCTTCTGCTCCTCAACACTTAGTGTCTAATTAGGGAGAGAAAATAGAGCCTGGCATGTCTCCCTTACAAGGTTACAAATGTTTGCAGGGAGAGACAGAAGAATCATGTTCTTGGACTGCCTTTCCAACTGGGTAAAATGACTACTTTTGATTCCTGCTTAATTGAAAATCTATCTGATTATCTTTATCAAAGCTAAAACCATTATTTCCAAGGTATATAAAATAAGAATTCCTAAACACACTGCAGGAAAACTCAATAAACACCTCATTCAAAAGCTCTGATCTGAAATCACAGAAAAAAATTATTCTATGGTTTGACACAAAATACGAACAACCTGAGTTGTTCAAGCAGCGGTGGAAAAGATCCTCCCCCCAAGCAATATTTTTCTGAAGTCACAACAATTTCCATATTTTCTGACATGTGTGCTCCATGTGATTTTGGGGCGATTTTCTCATTCTTCGTTGGGCATCATTTGGATTTCAAATTTTCTGCATGTGAGCTTTCTCTTCCAAACTTCACTGGTACTGTGAAGAAAGTGGTGAGCACATTGCAGTTTCCCATTACTGCAATGGGAAGCACTAAGAGCTTGCCTCCATAGCCTCTGTGGGCAGAGCTCTGCCACAGCTCTCCGTTCACTCAGCCATCATTTGGATTTCAAATTTTCTGCATGTGAGCTTTCTCTTCCAAACTTCACTGGTACTGTGAAGAAAGTGGTGAGCACATTGCGGTTTCCCATTACACCTGTACCTGTGAAGAAGGTAACAGCAGCACTAAGAGCTTGCCTCCATAGCCCCTGTGGGCAAAGCTCTGCCACAGCTCTCCGCTCACTCAGCCATGGGAAGCCCTGCATCAGAAATAAGGATGGAAGGGGCAGAAGTCATTAGGACCACTATAAGAAAGACTAGCAGAAGTATGAGATCCTTTGCCAGGGAGCAAAGTAACAATTTGCTGTACGGCAGCTAAGGCAATTCTCAGTGTGCTATTAGAAGTATACGTCTCATATACATCTTCAGACTTGCCCGTATGTCCATGTTCTGTCAGTGAGTCTTAGTGTAGTAGCCTGGTTATACCTGTCTCTAAGCAGATGGAGAGTTCTATTCAGAAACTCACAGCACTGGGGAGCGAGAAAAGGCAGTTCTCACATTCCCTCTCTACCTACTATGGTCCCGTCCTACTCATACTTTCAGTATGGGAGACATTTTTTCAGCCTTACAACTTTGCTGGAATTGGATGTTTTTACAAGGGGAAAATCGGTGCAAGTCTTTGACCCTGGCAGATCCTCCTGAGACGCACCACCCCTCCCTCTAACAGTGTTGGGGCTGAGAGATTTGGCAAAAGGAAACACAAGAAATGGGCTTTAGAAGGTCCCAATTGCCCCACATGTATGAAGTAGGTGATATTTATACCGAGACATGGGGAACTGAAAGAGGAAAAAGGTAGGATTTGGACCAATTCACTGAGACAAATTGGCATGATTGGTTTTAAGGAAATTGTAAAAATAACATCACTTACACCTCCTCTTTTGTTTCTCAGGTCTCTTGGAACTAAATAGTAAGGCAGATGGGTGGCAAAAACATGAGGCAAAGGAAGATTTGCATAATCCTTATTTTTTATTTTGTATTCCAGCCATGGGATTCTGTCCATGGTCTCCACATTTTCTGTTCCATTATGGTGGCCTTAATGAATTATTACGCTCAAAATGTTCTGAGTCCACACAGTTCCTGAGAAGGAAATCTTTTTATTTGAACATAATTTGATTTTTTTTTTAAATTAAAGATAGTATATTGTCATAAACAGACCCTCTACACAGCTATAATGAGTTTCACTTTGTGAATATAAATACAACCTCAGATACTGAAGAAAGCAAACATTGCCTTGGTGACTGCTGAGTGCAGAAGGGAAGCATGTTTTTGTTTTGTCCCTGCAGAAAAGCCGTGGCCAATAACTCAGCCTTCAGTTCCTTCACCCAGTATACTCAACTTCCGCACAAGTTATGTCCGTCCTCACCCTCTTGTGGCAACATGAATTGCTGCATCTCTATGGGCCACGCACCTAAAAATCTCATACTGAGTGGATCTGGAAAAGACCTTTGCTTCCTGAACTCCTGCAAAGTGTTGTGAGATGTCATGAAACAAACAGCTGATAACACCATGTTTGTAAAGCACAAATGAGCCCCACAAAACAAATGCTTATGGCAACAGGCTCGCTAAAGTTCTTTGAGGAAGGTCTGACTCCTGGGTCACAGCTGCTGGCAAGGACGATCTAAAAAGGCAGGACCTTGAAGGTGGCTGATGGCCGTGCCAGTATGTGTTCATGTACCAGCTGATAATGGTGGGAGGCAAATCCTGAATGGTTAGCCCACTTGGACAATGAGCAGAACTGTTTAGCTCCAGGTCCTCTGGCCTTCTCAGCACTATACTAGTGCTGGTTCCTTTCCCCTTTTATACCATAGGCCAATAAAGATGGACACTTGAGAGAATTCAAATCAATGCAGAAAAGCATTGAATTATTCCTGTAGGTTACCCTGAACAAGCACAGAGAAAGGAAGGTGCCTGAAACAAGCCTAGTTGTTAAGACCCTACCTGGGAAGGAACCTCTTGGTTCTGGAGATTAGACTGTATGTATGTTATAGATTTAAAGTCACTGGGCAAGAAAAAGAAATAGCTCTAGGATTCAGAGGAACAATACCCAGTGATTTCACAGCTGTGTTGACTGTCTTGCTCTGCTTGGCATAATCAACCTGGACAATTTTTTGGTGCAGTGGTAGAAATTCAACAGAAGGATTGAAGGGTACCTTGGACTGATAACTGGAGAGGAAGAAAGAGGATGGTGGGGCAGGATAGACAAAAAGGTGTGAATGAGAGAGAGACGACATTCTGTGCAATTCATAACTCAAAATCATCTTCCAACTCCTTCCTGTCCCAGAGTAGTCCATCACTTTGCAACACGAAACTCCTACTTCCAAAGATGTGCTCATCTCAGTGCCATAACATCTTTACCCCTTAAATACTGCCTTCTCATCCACCCTCTCTGCCTTACTTGGACAGCTTACCCCAATGCTGCCTGACGGTGAGCTACCATCGCCTGGGCTCCCTGTCCCCTCGCTCTGTCACCCACGACCCCTCCACAGGCTTCTTGTATCACATCTACCTTCACCACAACCAAGCCTGGTGCTCCCGGCCACTCCTTCTGGGCTTCGCTCAAGAATGTCTTTCTGCCTCAGGTATTTCACTGAATACCTGAGGGAATAGTGAATTCCAGCAAGATGTTCAGTGACCCTAGGAAAAGGACGTATGCTAACAAAACACTGGTTATGTTATCCGAAAGCTGCATCTTGAAGGCTGCTGAAGGAAACCAAATGATAATGGCAGAGGTTCCCAAGAGCACAAACAGAATTCTGAGGATAGCAGAGGCCTTGAAAGTACAAGCACAGATTGGTACCAGAGATGTCAAGGCTTTAGTCATAAATCACTGCTTAATGCATGATCAAGTCATTGATTACTAGTCACTAAAGAAATAGAGTCTTGAAAAATGGGTAGACCAGTTTTAGAGCCATATTGCCAAAGATACATGACGCCTGAGTTACTAGAGAAGCTTCTCAGAAGTTAGCATTACCTAACGGCCACAGTCAGTGTGGAAGGCTAAATGTAGCCATTTCTCATGAATGCTGCGCCTGTTCTGTCCTACAGGATTTCTGTCACCCGCATACTCTGTCACCCTCTTTCTTTCACTCCTGTAATTCACAACTGAATATGTTTTACCTGTGTGTCTTGCATCCAAGTTCCCAAGTTCAGCAAAGTGGCGGGGGATTTTAGGTTGCCACAGCAATTCTAAAACACCGTGAAATGGATTGGTCTTTGGAAGATGAGGTGTTGGGACAGTTTTGTTTGTGTATCCCCACTAATGCACCAGAGCAGGATTCCAGCAGAGATGCTTAAACAAGTGCTGTTAATTTGAGGGTACATTTTTTCTTTCTTTGAGGGACAGTTTTCTCTCTGATAGCCATTAGTTTGTGTTTTGTCCCCAGAGTTTTCCAGCTAGAAAGAGAGAAGTGTTTGGTGCATTTTACACTGCAGAAAAATGAACAGGGTGAAACTGAGGCCTGAGAAGTTTTGGAAAGAGTTCTAGGCACGGTGTCAAAGCCAAACAACCCCAAATGTATATGCTACACAGTGGGAATCACATGTTTTCACATAAAAGTGGTGTGTGAAAAGGAGATGTTGCCAGGGCAAAGTATATAGGGAGTCACAAGGAGGATTGGGCTAATTTTCCTCAGCAAAGGATATGGAATGGTGAACCAAATAAGTTTACCATTTGGTGAAACAAATTCTGAATTTTCTACTATTATGTGTATTATTTGCATGTTCTAACTTGCATTTATCTGTTACTTTTCTTCTGCGAAAACAAAGTAATTAACATAAATTTCAGTGACTTAGCTGTGGGCTAGCTGCGAGTGCTTGCTCATTGACTCATACGCTCCAGAGGATATGTCAGTAAATATGAATTTCCATGCTGTTTTCAAATGGATCAAAAAACCCTAGAAAACAAGTTAGTTCAGCTAAAAAAAAAGTGCTTGATCACCCTAATATTTTCCAGTCTTTAGATACAAAGTAATTTTAAAAAGTTAATCTCATAGGGAATGGGATGAATCTTGAGTAACACTTTGGTAAGGGAAGTGTGAGAACCAGGACAGGAGGTAGTCTAGAAAAGATCATTTTTGTTATATTTTTTGCTTAATTTTTTACTAGACCCTGACCTCCTGCTTCAGTACATTACTAGTCAATGAAGGTGAGAGTTCTCAAAATATATAAAGTGAAGAATAATATCAACTATTTAAGCGAAGCAGGCTGACAGTCTGAGCATGGGAATCCTCTGTTCTAGTTTCAAAGATAGTGTCTTCCTTTTGAGTATGAGGATTTGACTAGTGCTGCATTATAACCCATTTTTCATAGGTTCTGCTTTTACTGGGAGATCAAACTCATAACCAAACAAAAAGATTAATAATTTACAAGAGTGTGTTAAATTTTGAATGGAGAATCTGAGAACATCATGCCCACGAAAGCAACCGTCAACTGGAAAACAGCTTTTTAAAAACTATAATAACTTTTTTCCAATAATTTAAAATATTAAAATCCACTAGGGTAAGAGGAAACTGAGAGGAATGTTAAAAATTATAAGCATTAAATGTTGTAAAATATGTCTGGCCCAAGAAATGTGACAACACCAACGATACAACAAGATCACCTTTGAATTAGACCTAAACCTCTCTCTTTTAACAAAGTCTAGCCACTTACTTTGGCTAGAGCTGAGCATTGAACTCTCCATTTCACACAACACGGTGGAGCCATCTCCTTGCATTTCCTGCCTTACGGTAAAATATGCCTGTGGTCACAGTTATCCATGTATTTAATGCACATTTGTGTGTGTGTGCACATGTTTTAACAGAAATATAAAAAAAAAGCTTGAAAAGGCCAGGGATTGAAGAACACGGTTTTCTTTTCTCTCAGTTGGAGTAAAGACCTCAAATCCTTCTAATTGCTTTGCATGACCAGTAGCTGAAAAGCATTACACCAACTACACAGTTTTTCTGTATGCATAGCAAAAATTATCAACTAGATATCTTACTACTTCTGTCTTGGCTGTTCCCCTCTAAAATTTCTGTATCTTCTCCACAAGCCTCCACCTTCTCAAGAACTATATCTAAAGTGTTGCTGGCTTACGCTGTTGTAATGTTGTTTGCTTAATGCTGTTACACTTTCTCGTATTCAAGGTATTTACAAGCACTTGTCTTTTACAGCTCTGCTTTTCTCCCTTTAGCCTGATTCAACGTCTGATACATCAGCTTGACACTCTTCTTTGCCATTTGAATAAAAACCTTTCTCCTTCAATCTGTTTGGAAAGACCTCATAGTTTGCCTTAGGATCATTTTTCATATGTTTGGATGTAACCTGTTCTCACCACAGTCTCAGGTTCATCTTTTATTCAGATTTTTTTTCTTCAGAGATGTAGATTTTCAATCAGATCCTGCAAAGGAAGGAGTAGATGGGGAGTATACCATTAAATAACTCATTATACTCCACTCAAGATGAGGTTTATCAAGGCACTTTGGCATTTTACCTCTTAGTGCCATTTTGAACAAGCTTAAGTGCCAAAAGCTATATTTTGGCAAGAGGAACTCTTGATGTCTCTGGATTAAAACCATTTAATGGAAAAATCTTCATTTGCTTAGTCTGTCTACTTTGAGACTATTCTCCAAGTGAGGTGATGGGCTAATGCTGATTTTGGTCTTTAAAATCTTCATGTTTTTTCTCCAAATTCTACAGACTCTCCAGTTTGTTAAACCACTGCAAAGGACACAGGCTTTTTTCTGTGGAAAGGACACAGACTTTTTTCTGTGGAATTTAAGCTAAGATGCCACAAACTATATTATAGGTGACATAATACACAAAAAAACAGCACTGTAATCTTGTGGCCATTAGTTGTCCATAGAGGAATGAAAAATATTACCCCATTGTAAAGTGTTGAACATCTAAGAATGAGGACAAAACTGCACGTTTTTTGCTGGTAAGTCTTGCACACTGTGATCCCACTTAGAATACGATTTGTCGTATGTTATCATGTAGCCAACAGTCCAGTTAAAGTTGCAGCTCATTGCCTATATTGCACTGTAAGTTTGAGGTGAAAGGTAAATGAGAAAAAACCTGTAGCGAAAGCATGGTATGAAATGATATCCCTGAGAGGAAGATTATTGCCTGAAAAGTGCACACAAAAGAAAAATGCAATCTGCAGAGAGTAGAATTCACTCCATAGCCCTGCTTCTGAGGATAGCAAGGGAAGAGATAGGAAAGGTGACAAAAATCCTTGCTTGTTTACTTGTTCGTTTATTTTGTCACTATCATGCAATTATTTTTATCGATTATAGCTTATTTAATTATTCTTCTGTTACAGGTGATTCACATCTTTTAATGAATATATTCCCTCGTCAGTACTGCCTAGTTCATGGATGGATCATATCATGGATCTGAGGCTGATACAGCCATAGATATGACTTCAAATATCCTCTTCCTTACCCACAAGGAGATTAAGAAGGGGAAGACAATATCACTGCTCTTAACATATTGTATCTATTTTTAATTTGCTCACACAACTTAGTGTACAAGAGACTGAAATATATGAAACTCTTGAGTAAGTAAGAGCTATTGATCTGATTTTCATAAAGTCTGGGTTTTTCAAAGTTTTTGGAAAAAAACAAAGATGAGTTACAGTACCAAATTAAGAACTAGGTAGCGACATTTGCAGAAAAATTTTCTCTGGGATTTAGACGTGGACTCCTCCTTGCACTCTAACACTTCCACAAGATGAAGTTCCTCACCACGTCTGCCACCCCACAACCCTCCCTGCTTGTCGGTGCAAAACTGTAGGCATGACGCACCCAATATGTAGGTAGCTTTGTACATTTACATAGCCATAGGAGCTGCAAATGTGAAGCCACTGTGATTTACAGTATACAGATACACAAGTAAACCCTCTGGCAAAACCAGCTTCTTTATCAGACCACACCCAAAAGAACAATGCCTTGAGTTGAAACTTTTATTTGTCCATTTTGTTTTGCTTTTTGTTTTCTTTTTTCTGTTGGCAGGCTCTGGAAGGTGGAGAAGGAAAGGGGAAGAAGCAAGGCTTCAAAAGCTCCTAGATCCACCATTCACATGGAGGAAGAGAAGTTTATGCTGGGAACATGTGTTAAGGACAAGGGCTGATAATGTATTATCTCTAAACAAGTTGCAGAAATAACATTCTCTCCTACCTCTCTGCTCTTTCCTTTCCTGGAGCTAAATGGTAAAGCAAGTGCATAGCAAACAAATGAGGTGATGGTCCATGTTATTTAAAATAAACCCCTGCAACAGATTCTTAGCTCTTATTTCCATGCCTTCTCTTCTTCAGAAAATATTAAACTCAGAATATTCTGAGCCCACATAGTCTCTTGAAAGAAAAGAAATAGCCCTGAAGGCTATTTTATGATCATATTATTTATTTAGATGCAACAGTACCTCATAAACGCATCTTTTAACAGCTACCTTCGG